TTATGGATGTGTAGAGTTAGACTTTGATAGTTACAAGTATAGGGATATTGACATACGTAGACTGATATTTGTATGGGTGTCTATGTATGTATATTGTTATATTGATGTATGTATATTGATCTGTTTACATCTGTAGTTATATTTACACACTTGTACAGTTGTGTAGCTGTGTAGTTCTACTGCTGGGGTTGTATGGATTGTTTTATTGGCCCATTGATATTTGTATATTTATATATAGGTTTCTTATGTGTGTATTATATATGTCATACATGTAATGAAATCCATAGTACATATTACATCTGTATATTCTTATGTATTTACTTCTGTTGAAAATATATGGAGTTGCATAGTTCTAAAATTCTGTTAATTTAGTTCTGCATCTGAGATTCTTTTGAGAGGGATATTGATATTTCTGTATTCGTACATGGGCCATACACTTGTAGTAATATGTAAAAAATGAAATTGTTAAACTTCAATTCATATTTGTGTATATTGAGTTTTAGGGAGTTGCAATAAATTAATTTTTTAACTGAAGCTGATATTTGTGTATATTTACAAAGCATGATTCTCAGAATAGATTAGATTTTTAACTTAAATTTATATTTGCATGTTTATACATTGGCAGCACAAGTGTAGCAATTTAAAACAAATTTCATTTTTAAACTTAAGGGGTTTTTGCATATTTGTACATTACTAGTGCGGGTGTAACTATCTGCAATAAATGCAATGATTCAACTGAAAGAAGTATAGGTTTGTGCTACCCAAAGCCATGAGCAGATGTAAATGCGGGAGGATTTTGGCCATGAAAATCTCCAGCCATGCCCAGCACATGCCTCACTTGCACTCAGGCTGGGCAAGGGAAGCGCAGATTTGGGATGGCAGCAGAGCCAGAGTTGGCTCAGAACTCGCTGCAAAGGCCTGCTGAGAACACTTTGGGAATCCACTGAGAGTAGAACTCCAAGCAGGAGCCACCTGGGGAGGACAAATCCACCCCCATCCCAGGAGCAGCAATTCAGGCAGCGCTCCAAGTGTCCCTCTGAAGCTCGTCCTGGAGACCAGAAGCCAACAGGGATCCTGAGCCAGCTCCACTGCCTTTGGCAGCACTTTGGCAAATGAGCTGCAGCAAGGGGGAGGCGACAGTGACTGTGACTGCTGCAGGCTGGGGATGAAGGAAGGGCCATGGACACAAGCGCTGAACGCCCCAGGCAGTAATGCGCAGCTCCGCAAAAGGTGAAAGGCTTTGTGAACTTGAAGTTAGAAAGTTTTCTTTCTGCAATCCCCCGAGCCTTCACCCCTCCCCTGAGTTATTCCCATTGGATTTGACCCGTAATGTATTCAGGCTGGACACTGTCCCTATTGGCTTCATCTTTTCACCTACACCCCCTATGAAAACTGTAACCCGACACCTGCCCGGTGTCATTTGTCCCTGAGGGGTTCCAGCAATACAACTTTCTTCGAACTGCATACAGGTGTCCTCTTTTTGTCTCTTTGTCTCGGGTCCTAGTAGCGCTCTCAGAGCAGCGCTGCCCGCGTCACAGCGAACCCACAGCTACCTGGTAATCTCGGCAGAGACCCAGGGGCAGCAGCGTGCGCTGCTCACCACCGGCCACCCACGGGCGGCTGCTAGCCGGTGCCTGGGGGCCCGGGGCCCGTGTGGAGAACGAGCAACAGCCCCAAAATCCAGGAGGGTGCAGAACTGGGAAGCAACGAGTTCTGACAAGCACTGAAATGATGGAAGCCCTCTGTGCGAAGTTCCCTGAAGGAACTCCCAGGGAAATGAATACTATCCTAAGTAGTACCAGAATACACAAATGCAGTAACACTAGGAGATGGTCGATATGACCCACAGACAACAGCTTAGAAAAAGATCAAGAGGATATTTTATATATTCTATTTATTATAGTATCTATATTAAAATTTAAAATATGTAGTATATAGATGATAAATTACATCTATGACATATATGATAAATTCATATGCATTGTGTGATACATTTGGATATATTTTGATAAATATTTTCATTTCATATAGATTTGATATATTGCTCCAGCTTGGGAGAGTGAAGATGTTCTGCTTTCCAAAGGCTTCTGCCCACACAGCAGTCAGCCCTGAGTCTGTGCATGCACACCCACCCACTGTCCTTGCTCTTCTCAGCATCTCGGGGCTGCTGTTTGCACAGAATTGGGATGAATTTAACTCGACAGACCCACAAGTGGGGTGTCCAGCTTGTCAGGAACACTCATGTGGCAGGGCACAACACAGAGCTCTCAAATCACATTATCACAGGTCCTTTCATTCCTGCTGGGCACTGAGGAACTCCTAAAAGCAGCAGAGACACAGAAAAGAGGTGGAAAAAATTGGCATCATGCTACTGCTGGTATCCTCATGGAGGAAAATCTGCTGGGTTTCTTAAGGTTGTAGCTATCCAAAAACTAGAAAAACTGCTCAGCACCAGTAGCCCAATTGGGAATGGTTTTCTTGACTTGGCAATACTGGGGTTTTGCTCCCATGAAGGACCCGGGTGTCACACACCCCAGGCCTTTTAAAGTCTCTCTCTGCTTTCCTGCTTGGGCCGCTCAGGATCCGTGCTGTGATAGGTCTTTTTTTCTGTTGCTGATTGGCCCATAAGTTGGTGCAGTCTTGGCCGATCATTTTGAGATTTTTGCTTCTTATTGCTTGGTCTCTCCTCCAGTCTTGATCCGAGCTGTGGCTGTGTTCCACGGTGCAATACTTCTAGAAGCTTCTCTGCCCCCCCTCCACAAAGATTGGCATCTCCTCCCTGGATCCACTCCCCTTTTAGGTAAACACAACAGTATTGAGTTTTAATACAACTGATCACCTTACTTTGTACCCACAACATCCAACCCTGCACCTCACCCTGTTAACTACATATCCAATTATAGCTTGTTACTTGTATCAACAACATCCCTTTTTATACATACATTGTTAACAACATTCCCCAAAAGTTTAAATTTTATTGTTTTTGTTCATAACACCAGGGACAGCACCTTCCTCCTTAGGCCCTGCTCTGCTCAGGAAGGTGACAGAGCAGAAGAAGCAGAATTAGTATTCACTTTTCCTTCTAGCCACTCTGCCACAGGACCTGTGTTCAGAAGGAATGGCTGTGGCTCCTGAGAGCAGCAGGGAACCCATCTCAGCCCTGCCAGGTACGGGGCTGCTTCTCCGCCCCTGGTCCCGTTGGGCGCTCTGGGGTGTGGGGAGAATGGTGGAAATTGATCCAGGGCTCTGGAGAGCACAAGGATATGTTCAGCTCCTGCTCTACATGAGGAGTCTCATTTCTTACAAAAGTTTCTCTGTTATTACAATTCATCCTTTTGGGTATTTGACAACATGCTGGGTGTTGAAGAATGGGTAGGGATGACTTTCCCATTTTTTGAAAAATCCAAAAGGAGATTTAATACTTTATATAAAAATGCAAAGACACTAAAGCAATTCCAAATATACATTTAATTGATGAATATTTAAGCACCTTGTATTAATCTGAAAGCACCGATTATGAGAAATGAACAATGCAAATATGCTGTCTTTCTGGTCTGGCCTTCAAAGCTCAAAAAGCCCCACTTCTCCTATGCCTACAGATCAATGATGAAATGAGCTGAAAATGTGCTTTTCCTTCTGCTGACAACTATGCACCACAACTGAAACCAATGCTTTAAACTCTTCAGTTACTTTTTGCTAATCAGCGCTTTCCTAGATCAATACTTTCTAAAAATTTTATATATATACACATGGAATGCTTTAATTCCTAACCCTATACCAAAATTTTAAAAGAAAATTGCCTCAGCCGATAGTGTTGAACCATACTAACATCTGTTTAAACCTATTATAAAATCAGCTGAGTGCAATTTCATTACTTAAATTTACTTGACCATAAATCGTTTCCTTAAGTGCTCCTTTTAATGAGAATACGTGGCATTGCCTGTCACCTCGGAATATAGCTTTTAAAAAGACATTTAGATAATTTAGTAAGACATTTCTGCTTCTTGTCATTGCATCCACCAAGTAGCTAAAAGTCTACCAAAAAATGAGAACCAAAAAACATCGCTCTAGGATTTATGGGCATCTTGTAATTAAATAATTTTATTTGTGTCTGTTGATAAATTATTTTTGAGTTTAATTTTGACAACTCAAGTAGGTTTTGTTAAAAACGAAAATCAAAAAATCACTTTATCAGGCTAATACTAATGTTTTCATTTTTTTATTAAGACCAAGCCACATAAAAATTAGGGGGTACATTGAACCTTGTTTATTACTACCTCTACCTAAATATGACAATATTAGGACATCCTGAAATATGACTGAGGAAGCAGATAAATAATACAATAAAGACAAAGATGAAAAACCAAACTTAAGGATTCATGTCCACACACATGACCAACTTTTAACACACAGAGGACCTCAGTTCAGTTTGGTCATCTGAGTTTTCTGTTTCATGGCACAATTAATTTACTTTCCCACTGTTTACCTGAGATTTGCCTTTGCCTCTTTATTACTTTTGTATAACAGAAGTAATTTTCTTTCCTCTCTTATGTCCAATTTTTAAATCTCTGGACAGTTGCATTTCTCTTCAGTGTAACATAGGATTATACTGCTGTGATTGAAGGAAGCTACAACACAGTTGTACTGCCAACAGCTCAAAGATGGTAACCAACTTCAGACATTCAAAAACACATTCCTTCAAAAGCCTCCAGATTCTAATTCTAATGAAACCTTACAGCACTAAATGCAGCAGTTTGTTAATGTACCAGTTATTGTCAAAGAACATTGCTTTCTTTGGCTGTGTGCACAACCTGCTACTCTTTCCATCTTCTGAGCAATGAAGTCATGACATTTTCACCAAAGCGTCCACCAGAGTCTGGCCTGAGAAATTAAATCCCTCTCACCCCGAGCAGGCTGTGTTTCTTTTTCCCTGTACAACACACACTGGCCACCAGAACTACAATCAGTACAGTCCAGCACAGAAGAGCAGACAGGCTATATTTAAATCAATCAAAACTTTATTTATAATTGAATTCAGCAAAAATGAAAGTTTATACAGGAAGAACTATATAACAGAAAGAAACAAGTCTCTACACTGCCTATTGGCCAAGATCTATCTCAGTCTGTCCTGAGAAGCACTCATAAATAAATGGGAAAATATACTGCTGCATTGAGTTTCACCCTGCAGGTTGGGCATATGTGAGCAACCCCAAGGGCAATAGGGAGGCATCTACTGCAGAAGACATGGCCACACAGGGTTGCCACAAGCTGTCGTCCATGTTGCATAATCTGGAGGAAAGAAAACCACAACATTTCTTGGGAGGAAAGAATTTGATTTTGCTGCTCAACTGCACCAGGCTCTATTTAGAGCATCTAGAATTAGAATTACGAGGGACCCACAGATCTGCCAGTGCCATCTTGGCAAGGGCTTCTGCCTCTACATTCACCAAGAAGGGACTTGTGGAGCTTCACAGCAAGGGCTGTGCTTCCAGCCAGCTGCCCACAGCATCCCACATTATCCAACGGACTTGTGCAGCTCCCCCCTTCTGGCTTTCTCCTCCCACAAAGCAGAAAGGACGACAACAGGTGGATCCTTACCTCTGAGTAAAATTCCATGCAAAGCGGACACCTAATAACAGCTCCTTGCTGCGCACTAGAGGAAACAGAACTAGAAAGAACATGCAGCTGTTAATATAACCACACTCCAATAGTTATTGATGTATAAAATCTCACCTATTCATACAGCTGCACTGACTAGCCATGACACATTTCCTTTGAAGAACCCTGCTGTCTTGAAGTCTCTGTTTGCTGCATTTAATGAGGATTTGGGGTCTCCCCTGCCCTGAGGGAAAGGGTGTCCTGGTTTTCACTAGGAGAAAGGTGCAGTCAGTCACCCTGCTCTGGGCTTTGAAGTAGCAGCAGTCTTTAGCACTGGCCAGTTTGTGTCTGGCAACTTTGACTTCCAGTAGGTCATCAGTAACAGCTTTGTAACTACAGCATCAGCTGTCCTCTGGGAATTATTCACCCCAGAATATTCATTCCAGGACCCAACTTTCAACTACAGAGTAACACAGTTCTGGCAAGATCCAGCCCTGGGAAGGAGCCTTTGGTCAATTTTAAATGCTGTAGCACTGGGCTATTTCAGCCTTAACTAAACAGAGCCATTACATTCAGTAACTGAGACACTTGAGACTGGAGGAACAAAGTATTCCTGTTTCATATTAACCAGGGGTTGGGATTTGTTCACCTACAGACTTAACAACCAAAACTTAAGCATCTACAAATTCATTGGCAAAATGCATTATGGTTTAGAATTGTAGAAGCCCTTTAGGCAGCATATTTAAGGCCTGACACCTAAAAGTTCCATACTCAAGTTGCCTCCTACATTGCCTTTCCAAAAGGCTCAAAGCACACCAGCTTTATTAAAACCTGTGTCTTTCCCCCCACCCCAAAAAAACACTTTGAAAACCTTATACCATAATTCTAATGTTCTTTGTCATCTCTAGTGACAAAGACACTTGGTTAAAATTAATCAGTCCAATGAACTGTATCTTTCTTATCCTGATGGAGTGCTCCTACAGCAGCACTTTCCTGTTCCTCTGCAGAATGGGAATTTTACTGCACAGGCAGCCAACTTGAACTGCAAGATTTCCATCACAGAAGCAAGCAAATCAGGGCTTGTGACATCCAGCACTGGCCATAAAAGCATCATTCCTTGCCAGTGGCTCAGCTGAATTCTCTGATGCTCTGGAAAGATGTGGCTGCTGCTGGCTCTGCTGCGTGTCCTGAAATGGGGTAGAAATGCAACCACCACTTAGGAACCACCTGAACACTGTACTTCCTGCGTCCCTATTTCAGTTCCCTAATTGGATTTGAGATGGAGCCATGTCTTTCTCTCTCCCCCAAACTGGCAATTTCACCTGTGATAGCCTGAACACTACTTATATGAACAGCTACTGAAGAGGAAAAAACCCTGTACCCAAACCTGCTCTTGCATTTCGTGCACGTGGAGCTGGGTCACGCAAATTCTGCTGTAAAATTTCAGGCCTTTTTTTTGCAAAGGTTCAGGAACAACCCCGTCAGGATATAACTACTGTGCCATGTTTTCTGCATGTTTCTGTTTTGCACAGCAGTAGTGACAACCCAAATTTGAGCAGATACACGGCACTGTGGGCTGGATCCAAGCATATTCTTACCAAATAGTAGGGGGAAATGAAAAAATACCAAATGTGACCCTTTTAAAGACTTCTTGGAATAAGAAACCAAAATATTGTGCACCCCAGTCAACCGCACTTGCATTTTACACCTCAGTGACAGAGGTACCTTAAACTGATGTTGCAGCTAAAACGCTTCTTCCTTGGGAAGTCAAAGACTTCCTGTGCTCCCCTTTAAATCACAGATGCAACAACCTTTAAGGTTGCTCACCCACTCTCTGCAAGGAGTTCTCAGGCATGCTGATATGTTCATGAGTGTGTTTGTGGCTGACTGGGAACTGCTGACTAAACTGTGGCAAATCACAGCCATCATTCAACCTTTGAGGCCAGGGTACTCAGTAAGATTTCAGAAGACTGGCAAGAAAAGTAATTTAAATGCAAGATGATGAGGAGTGTGCCAGTCATTACTTACCACAGGAGACTCATCATCACTGATAGTGATGACTTCAGGCTCAGAAGAGTCACCTGTGAGATCTATGACTTCTACACCAGCTGAAAAGAGAGAACATTAGAACCATGGTCAGAGATTGCAGAGGAATGCAATGGGCTGCCACTGTAGAACAGGCTGTGGCTGGATTCACCGTGCCCTCAGGTTCAGGAATGTGTCCAACATTTCACTCAAGCTTTGCCCTCAACAGTGCACAGGGAGCAGGGCAAACCCTGTGCAAAACAAGCTGAAGGGCAGCTGAGCTCCTCACAGGTTCTATTGGATGACAACAGATTACAGGAGGTTCACATCAACAGATGATTCATTTCATATAGGGGAGTGTTTAGCACGCAGGAAAAAAACCAACCAAACAAACCACAGCAATTACTAATTTTATGGCACCATGCTGTAGACTGCTTCCTTGAAGGATGGGGCAGAGCTAATGACAGGTTTTCCTCATCTCCATCAAGCTTGGGAGATCTCAAACTCAGCTTGCCACCCTCCACTGTGGCAGCTGCAGTGACTGCCAGCTCATCAGAACACACGTTCAGGTGTTTGAGCAGCACTTGAGGACCTTTCCTACACAGCTCATCTCCCACTTGCAGCCAATAAGAGCAGCAATAACAAGCAGCAGCAATAATGATCTCAGGAACAAACCAAAACCATTGTCAGAAGGCTTGCTGTTTAGGGATGCCATACCAGGAACTTCCTCAATCCCAAGGTTTCCCTTCCTCCCCAGTAAAGGGCCTAGAAACTGGCAAAAGCACATGGCCAGATGGTCTTCAACCCTCCAGAAGCCGCTTCTGTTCTTACCAGGCTCAAAAGCAGGTGTGCCACTTTCCTTAAGCTCTGTTGGCTCCGTCTGCAAAGTTCCACCTGCGCTGGAGGGCAGCAGCCTGCTCCGTTTCCAAGCTGGTCTGGAATCAACTGCTCCTCCAGGGCGCTTTCGCTGACGCTGACAGGGAACAAAACCTTAGCATTTTCTCTGCCACTAATATTAACATGGCACTTGGGTTTTGCAACACCAATGGCAGCACACAAGGATACAGAAAACACTCCTGCAAAGGCTGGAATACACACCAAATGCTGCTGTGGGCCATTCCCACCCAAGCACATCACATCAGGGAAAAGACAGCACCCCTGATCTCTGACAAGCCGCCTCCCCAAGAAAAAGCCTGTCTCAATGGCTTGAAATGAAACCAGTTCCCAATTCCAGCAGGTTGCTGCTCACACCGTAAGCATTTCTGCACTACTGTTAACAACCACAGAGATTCAAAACCTTCCCAATTCCAGAACATCAAGTTTTCAAAGGTTTCTGTTCCTCTGCATTTGCTACAAACTCTTGAAATGCTTTCTAGACATATCCTGGAAAATGTTTCAAGAATCAGATTTGCATTGAGTTGCAAAATACTTACTGAGCTCATGGTGTTTAGTGATCAAAAACAACCACCAAAATAAGTGGGACAAACTCCAAAAAAGGAATGTCAGGGATGTGATCAATCCCTTTGGTTCCTTTAGGCAGCCCTCTGCAGATTTTTTGGCGTGACAGAAAGCTGCTCTTCCAAACCTATCAGAAAAGTAGAGGCAAGATTATCCATTTGGATTGCCAGTTTCTTGAACACTCCCATGCCCTAGGACTCCCATTCCCAAGTCTCCAGTTCCTGTCCAAAGCTAGAGGCGAAATCCGTGACTCTGGTACTTGAGCCCACCTGCAGCCCATCCTGCAGCCCAGCCCAGCCCCTCAGCATCAGAAGCCTTTCCAAGAATCTTCTGCACTCACCTGTATGGTGAGTCCAGAGTTTGGCTCGCAAATGTCAGCAAATTGCTCTCTATTCCCTCGCGGGATGGAGAAGATGGATGCTCTGCGTCTGCTGCGCAGCAGAGAATCCCTCAACTGGCTCAACAGACTCCGTGCCAACAGAGCCTCCTGCAGCTAAAGGAATGCAGGATTTGTTACGATTAAACTTTTCTTCAACATGTTCTTTTTCTGGGAATTCCTCACAAGCATTTCGTCAATGCAACTGGCAGATGCTTTTGCTGGCTGAAGCCACACTGCGTCTTTCCTTAAGAAATGAATAAAGGAAGCACAAATTGCCTGCTGAAACCCTTCTGCTCCCTTCCAAATCAGATCACTAGTCAAGCACAAGGCTCAGGCTCATCCCCGATTCCCTCTGAGAGACAGGAGGTAATATTTTGCCTCAGCCAAAAGGTCATTACAAAAAAAGAATGAAAGTTGTTGGTGCTAGGTGTTGTTAGTTATGGTTTGCATTTGTTCCAGTTAATTTGTTGGGTGTTGATGTGTGCTGGAAAATGGGGGGGGTTGAACACCAAACCAAAAGGGAAGTACACCCAGCTCAGTTGAATCCTTACTAAGAAAAACGGTTCTCTTTTGCTTTAATGACTTTGTCTCCATTTAATTGTACCTAAGAGTTTATTTCTAACACCTCTCTCCCAGCAGCTCCGAGCTGCGGCGTGGCACAGCTCTTGCTGTGTGCCAGAGAGCACGAAGCAGGCCGGCCTGCTGGCCCTGAATATTTCTGCAAAGCACTCTGCAGGTCACAGCTTTGCTGTGGCTCAGTGCAGAAGTGCAGGCGCTGCCTCCCAGAGCTGTGTGAGGCACTGGCTCCTGCAGCCATGAGCTGACAAGCTGTCCCTGCCTCCCGCTGGCCCATGGTCCCCTGGCACAAGCGCCGTGCCTGAAGGACGCTGCCCTGTGCTCCAGCCTGCCGAGCAGCCCGGCTCCCTGCCCCGGTGCCCAGAGTGCTGCACACACTGCTGACCTTTGCCAGGAGTCGCAGGGCAGCCGGCACAAGAGTGGGAATGCTGAGCCAGGCTCCGCTTCCCCTCGGGAGCAGCCGGCTGCGCTTGGGCGCTGAGAGCAGAGGATGCGCCCGCTGCCAGCAAGAGGCACGCAGGGCCGGGCTGTGCCTCCTGCAGCTACAAGGGCCTCCTTGCAGCCTGCCCCTGCCCAGGCTCAGGCTGCTCCGGGCTCTGCCAGGGCTCTGCTGCAGCTCCACGCCGGGCAAGGCCGGGCCCGCTCTCACCTCACACTCGCTGACAGCTCTGCACCGCAGGAGACCTTTCAGAGCACCTCTCTGATCTTTCTGCTTTCTCTGCTGAGCAAGGCTCTCCTCCAGCCAAAGACATTGCCCTTCGCGATACAAATCCAAGTGGCAGGCACCCAAATGCTCTCGAGTCACAGCTGAAGGCCTGCATCTGCACAGGATGTTTTGGCTGCCCCACTCGCCCTTTGGTTTTTCCCGCAAATGCCATTGCCCTTTCTGCCTCAACTGGAAGTGCCACAGATGTGCCAAACGGGGCCGGTGGGCCGTATGCCAAAGGCAGTGTAGTCTGGAGAGGATGAATGAAGAAGAGCCTTCTCCATTTACAAACCATACCAAAGAAGCCATAAGTGTGTCTCAGCACCAATAAAAGACAACTGGCAATTCAGAAGGAAATGTTTTCTGAAGGGGTCAGAAGGAGGGGAATCTTCCAAATGACTTGATGCTTTGAAAACTTTATTTAATTATAATCCTATCCATAAACCTATACTACAAAACTACTTAACAATCCTAATCTAGAGTCCTACTCTACAATCCTACTTTAACTTGGTAATAATATCTTCATCGTTAGATTCTTGTCTTCTTCGTCTTCTTCTTCTTCGCTGAGTTGATGAGTGGTGCCAGGGTGGATGCTGGCTTGGCTGCTGTTACAAATGGATGCTAATCCACAGGAAAAAAAAACAACAAAGAACAGTGAACCATGACATTCCAAGCTCAGTGCTTCACAGACTCAATCAGGATTCCTCTAGCTCCTAGAAGGACCCAGAAAGTAAAACAATGGGACCATCTGCTCCCCACTCATCATGTGCAGGAGCTTGCCATCACAGGCAAACCTGGCCCAGAATCCCACTCATCCATTTATTCTGGTTTCTCCATCTTGCTGGGATTTTTGCCCTGCCAGTGCTCTAGAAATGGTGCTTTCTGTCCCTGGGGTTTTTTCCTTTCAGGAAGCTCCAATGACTCCCATAGGTCCCTGTCTTGGAAAGACAGGCACCATGCTAACTTCCACAGGCACACAAAGCAGTGTCTGCCTTTCCATGCCCTGCCCCTGCTGTGTGGGATGGCACCTTCCTTCCCAGCAGGGCCAGTCCAGCGGCGATGGGTCCTGCAGTTCCCTCTCTGCCACACAACCTGGCAGTCAGCCTGGGACAGTTCCCCTCTGCCTGAGCATGCCAGGCAGCAGATGGGGCTGGGGCAAGTCCCTCTCAGCTGTCCCTGTTTGTGTGCCAGAAACCTCTAAGGGTGGGGTGGGGGGCATAAACCAGGGCCCCTCAGAGGCTCACAGTGAGTCCCTCAAAGCCCCTCCTGCCCACAGCCAAATCTCTCCAGAGTGCTCTGCCAGGACTGGCAGCCTTGGGTTCCTCCACCACTATTTCATGTCTCTTTACCCTGCATTGCTGTACTTCAGTTCTTTTACCATTAGATAAAACTGAACATCCCACCAAATCAGGGCAACAGAAACAGCCAGAAAACAGAGCACCTGTCCTCTCAGGAAATGCGGAGAGAGGTGGAGTTATTCACTTTTGTGAAGAACAGGCCCCAGGGAGACTTTATTGCTGCTTTCCAAGATTTCAGAGTGGCTTTGAAGAAAGTGGGGGACACCTTTTTTAACAGGGCCAGTTACAAGAGAGTGTGGGCAAATAGTTTTAAACACATGGGGATCTAATCAGAGTAGGTCTAAGGAAGACCTTCTTTTCTCGGAGCATGGTGCCACTCTGGCACAGGTTGTCCCAAGAGCTTGTAGGTGCCCCCATCCCTGGAATCATTCCAGGTCAGGTGGGACAGGACTCTGAGCAACCTGATCTCTTTAAAGATGTCCCTGCTCATTGCAGGTCACTTGGACCAGAGGACTTTCCAGAGCCCTGCCAGCCCAGCCCAGTCTAGGATTCCTCACTGTTTTCATTTGAACATCACCAAGAGTGGAGGTGAGGAGGAAGGGGGCTCATCTGATGCCTCGGACCTCGGTGGAGGAGGAGCCCATCCCTCAGACACTGTTTCACCTCAGCCCCTTGGCATTTTACCTGCAGGAGCCTCTTGGCAGACCAGCGCTGCTCTTCGTCTGTCTGCAGGCAGCAGCTCAGA